GGTAATTCTAAGCTCATCATCAATTTTATAGGAAATTGAATTCTCTATGAGTTTCATATAAATCATCATTGAGTACAACCAATATTGAAAGAACTGCAGCTCTTTGAAATTGGGCAATTATCAAAAATACCATAATCGTCCGGTTGTGACATTTTACATGATTTTTTTTTTCAATTCCATTACACTTGATGTCCATCGTGTTCTTTGACCCCACCTCTCACTATGAATTTTTGTAGTCTGCGTTTATTTTGGCATTATTTGTTGCTCTAACACCTGGACTGAAAGGCAAACCCTTCAAACTGTATTGTATATAAGATCTACCAAGACACCTTGGAAAAAATGGATTATCACATCCAATTCCTTCATGAAGCCAGAGCATGCGACACTAGTGCCATCCACAATATTAGTGAAATTAAACCGTTCAAGAAATTGCGAAAAGATGACGCATTACGTGAGTTAGTGCAAGTATTTTATTCACCTAATGCTCTCCCTATTGATCTGGTGGAACCGGGTGAAGCATATAATATCTGCTCAGTCAGTATACAGGAATGACTGGTGGAATTCTTGATCAGAGGCAATATGAACTGTATCTTGATAACAACGCTCGGAATCCTGTAGATAAGAAGTTTGATCTTGGGCAGCTCTTACCAACTATACCGCTTTGCCACGACAACATTTTCTTCGAGTGTACTTTCACTACTAGAAGATTGGGTAGAAAACCGATCAAATGAAATGTAGTTTGTGATTTTCTATCTCGTATAAGTCGATTTTTTCGAAGATTCAGGAGTAATGGTTAGGCAATATGCTTCTTCCGAATGAATGGTGATGGACAGAGGAGAAAGGTCGACTGATACCAGTGACAAACATCAGCAAACTTGGGCAAATGTGTCAATGGATGCTAGCCTTGGAATTGCTCTTGCACGAAACATCAGTCGGTCTGCTCCAAAATTTGCGGACACTGCGCATTGCATAGGACATGAGATCGATGATGTTGACAGCAATGTAAAACTAATTGGATATGTAATAATAATATTGTTTTTCTACCACTAGCTCTAAAACCTACCATTATTCACTTCTTTTCGAGGCGTTAGGTGTGTTTTTAATACCAAGCTAGTTTTTGTTATTTTATAAACCACTAGTCAATAAAGACATAGCTATCTCTGTCTGTCTGAATTCACTGTTCTGATGCGAGAGTCGCAGGAATGGCATTCAAATCTAGTAAGTATTTATCATTAACGACTTGTCATATGCTGTCATGGTCATGAGTACTAGATTCCAATTAGAATTGAAAATAAGTGCTCTCATGGTGACAACCCAGCGAGCATACAATCATCCCTGGGATGTTTTGGGATGTTTTGAAAATGTTGGCATGAAGATGTTATTTTGAGACGTAATATGCACTGACCAAAGAGGTCTTTGAAGGATATTGAAGTATTGTTTTTGTTCTTCTGTGGCATTTCTTTGTTACCTGGGATGTTTTAGAAATGTAGGCATGAGGATGTTTTTTTGAGGCGTAATATGCACTTCCCAAAGAGGTCTTAGAAGGATATTGAAAGTATTGTTTTTGTTCTTTTGTGCCCTTTCTTTGTTTGCCCCACCACAACGTCTCATGCTTACGTCACAATACGATGAATTCTGATCTGTTTTCGATTTTGTTCTTCTTGCTCGCAATTGGCATTCGCGTTTGCAGCGTGTCACGCTTACATCACGCTGCTAACGAACAGAAACGGATTTGGTGAAGTTTATCGTGTTAGAAGACTTATTTACTTCGTGATAATGACCATCAGATGCAATATGTGTTGTTCGGTGCCTCAGTGTAATCAATATATAAAAGTACAAATTTATCAATACACAGCTCCTCCGCAGTTGCAAAATTATGCATTGTGGAGAACATTTCACGCGTTGAAAATGTTTTGTGGTGTCCATGAAAAGGCTTCAAAAAGAACTAGGGAGAAGGTAGTTTATGTTACATATCAAGGACATCTCGATAATTGCCGCCTGCGGCGGACATTGGCTATAATAGTTCTATTTATGTGTGAACAGAACATCGCAGTGGAGATTCAATGTCTCGAAATCTCGTACTTTTAACATCTCTGAGATGTTTTTGTGCTCGCTGGGAAGAGGTCCACATCTCAGTTTCACAGAACTAAACGAATTGAAATGTATACTGCTAGTAGTGAAAAAGATTCAAAATACACCTTTGTTGAAAGTAATATTATAACCTCAGGACTTCATACTCCTCGGCTGTAGCCTTAGGATTCAATCTTGGGCCCTTGGTAATACTAATTTGTCTTCACACCTCGATGTATAAATGACTATTATTTTAACAAACATGTAATGAACATGTATTCACTCTCGATATGTGAATATAAAAATAGTGAATTGAAATGTCCATACAGAAAAATAAAGACAATTTGTGAGAAATAAGTGATTTTCCAATTATAACGTATAACCATCGTATGGTGGCCGGGGGGACACAGTCAGACAACTCGACAGAGGTCATGTTCAGATATTGAAGACATTAGTGATCACAGTAAGCATTTCAGGGACACCACACAGTAGCAGTAGCTTTGAATTTTCATCTCCCTTCAGAATGATTTTGGTAGTACTGATACACTGGCTTCAAAACATAACCATAACCAATGATCTTCCAATGTTCGAAGTTTTGTTTCATTGGTTTTCATTTTCATCATTCTTATCATCTTCTCTACTCACGTTGAAATTATGGATGGAGTGGTCCATCATATTATCTTGAAAGACATTTTATCCGCTAGTGACTCTGATTCATCAGAAACACCAAGTTCTAGCACCTCTAGTTCCAGTGATCAAGAAATGAAACATAGCTCTTCGTAGCTGTGATATATTTGATATCAAAAGTGGAAATAACAAAACCTGCGACTGTGAGATCTTTCAGTTCGACTCCATACATTTCACCAAAGTATTTGAAAATAATAATATAAATCGACTACTATCTAACCATTCAAACGCTCAACTTGACATTTCATGAATACGGCACTACATCATAATTTCTTCATCAGTGGCCAACAGTAAACTTTTAGCCTCAAGTAGGGTTCCTCCCAATGACTTGCGTAAACGTTGCCAGTAAATCGGAACGATAAAATATACTGGACCGTACTGTTCTGGAATATAGGAACATTATGAGAGTCTAATGACTGGCCAGGACAAGGGCGCTGTATAGAACATGAGGCGATGAAGACCGCGTTTTCCTTACAAAGATCTAACCAGTGGAGATGCGAAGAAACTTAAGAAGATTCTCGTCTCTGGAAGCAAATTACAGATAACTGCTCTTCACTCGCTATGACACCCTAATAACACACGTTATCCAGATACATCCATTTTATATCCATTTGAAGTTCAACACATCCATGGACGCCAAATGGAACTATCTTTTAATGTACATCGTTGTATATCCAGCTGATGATCTAATGTGTACCCCATCTGGACATGGACAAAGATGGATTCAGAATGCAATGAATATTTTCGAAAAAAATGCAGAAATGATGCAAAATATCCATTTCAGTTTTTGTGTCAGGGCATTGGACCATACTTCTTTTCCAATTTGTTATCATTCGAAGTAGGTACTATCAATTTTTTTATCACATCGATACTTTAGGTTTTAGTTATCAACTATGTTTGAAATATTAAAAAAATTACCTAACTTGTCTTTTGAATACGTATAGGTTGGAACATATATGTCCAATATATGAACACCATATGAATGTCCATAATGGACACCAAATGGATGTCCATCATGGATTCCGAATGGATGTTCATCATGGAAGCTGATATCCTATGGACATCCATAGGATGTCCTGTGCACACAAAGTGGTTATCCTATGGATGTCCAGGATTCCCGGTTGAGGATATCCATTGGATGTCCAATGTATGGAGGTGTGTTATTAGAGCAGAAGATATAGTATGAGAAACAACGAAATGGGCAGTGCATCATACCCACCAAGGGCATTATCTGGTAAACTGATGGCTCCTGGATGGAAGAGTGTACAGGAGCTGTTGTTCATGGGCATCAGTCCCAAAGGGTAGACCATTACTATACCCTTGGAGGATATGCCACAAATTCTCAGGCTGAAGTATTGGCAATACTCGTCTGTGTTCAAGTGAATATCGAAGGGGCTATCGCAGGCAGCAAATCACCATATGCAATGATAGCCAGACAGCAATCAGGGCACTAATCTCGTGTAGAGTGACCTCCTGCTGGGCGTCAGAGTGCATAGACAGCCTACAAAGGCACTCAGGGGTACCTGGTAATGAAATGGCAGATGGTCTGGCCAGAAAGGGGGCGAAGGGCTTAGTGATTGGTCGAGAGCCAGCCTTTGGAACACTCGATCTTGAAGACACTTCAGTATGAAGGGAATCCTGGTGAAGAGGTTTCAAGACAGCTGGAGAGGGGCTCTAGAAATGCAGTTGAAACTACACATAAAAAATCCGTCACGATGCAAGTACCTCTTGGCTGAGAAAAGGAAGAACTGGTGGTGGCCTTCTGACAGGGCACTGCCACTCAAACAAGCATCTTCGTACGATTGGGATTGTGGAGGATCCTGAATGCAGATAGTGCTAAGAGTTTGAGGATATTGAAAAAAAACTGGCCTTGGAAGATGGTATCTTCATTCGGTCGGGAAAACGGCCTCAGATCCTGGACTTCCCACACACTCTTTACTTTTCGTGAAATTTTTGAAATTTCATGTTGATCACGAAAGTAGATTCATTTCCACAGCGTCGAGACTCGAGTCGAATTCATTAGTTTTCAGTTTACTTATTTTCTCTTCGTCTTCAAATTTTGATGTTGTATAAGGTGTAACTATTGCTATCGATTGAATTTTTCATCAAGATTTTTCATGAGGAATCAAATTCCAAGCTCTCGAACTGACATTTTGGGGTTAAAACGAGATGTTACTATCCATGAATCCAACACACAAGAGCCATAAAAAAGGACCGACCCTTGTAGAACTTCTTATCAGGTGGTTCACATTCCCAATCAGATGAAAATAAGATCGATGATTTTTGCGATCACAGAATATCATCAAAAATTATGTTTTGTTATTATTCACGGAGAGCTGTCGAAAGGTATTTCAGCATTTCCATTGAGATATGAAGGTACACTGATGGAGAGTAACAACTGAACATTTTTTTTCAACTTGGAATTGATTATTCTATTTATATAATGACACAAGTATCTGATTATATCCTATATTCAATACTCTATAATTTCGTCTTCATATAAATTCTAAGAAATATACAAAAGTCAATTATCTAAGTCAATAGTCAGTTCTCCATTTTCATGTTGATAATATAAGATTCATTGTTCTAGTTATAGTTTGGACCATTATTTTCTGCCCTATTTCCTCCGTTACTCGATGATGTCGTACTACTGCAAGCGGTACCCTGAATTGCCCCTTCAACGGTATTGGACCAGACCCTGAAGTTCACTTCATCGTAATTCAGTCTACCATAAAGGAACTCTGGCATCGCGTTTGTCAAGACATAAATATTATCATTGTGAACCTTGACGTCACAGGGATAGATCATCTTCCTGTCGTCTCTTTGCACGCTAGAAATGGAGCTGAGGGGCAGATTTGTGTTCCAGCACGCCAGCGCATTTTGATTCACCAGGCCGAGGAACATGACTCCCGATGGCTTGTGGATGTCTGCACAGGATGTTTGGGACTGGGTTCCACGGTCACCAACATTCTGTAAGGATACAAATTTTTTGTATTCATTTAATTTATACAAATTCAAATTTTGACCCCAATCAACATACAAGGTGTTTCAGATTCGAATTCATATACGATACCTGTAGATAGAGGACACTTTGATCGTTCCAAATCGCTCCTCATCGTTATGTCTACCGTCTTTTATAACTGAGCTACAGGACGTTATCTTGATTTTTGCAAAATGTGGTCATAATTTTTGAACCACTTTGTATAATCTATTCATACTTGGTAGATGGATTTCACTCATATTACCCATGAAGAGTGAATGGTAAACAAGATCAGAATCCAGGTCCGTCTTTTAGAAAAATAGAAGACTTCTTGTATTTCAAAAACAACACTCTGTATGGCAAAATTTTGTGGATCGGTTTTGATACCATGAAATAGCGGGAGAGAATGGATGAAGTGACATATTCTTTACGAGCACGCATCAAATTTGACAGATGTTTTTTCAAGTACCTATTCTGCTCGATTTCGAGGTATTTTTATTGAACTCGTCATTAGAAATTTAATTTCAATACAGAAATATACCAGGCTGCTTATTTCAACTCCATGAGAGTCAAATTAGGTGAACTTCCTATAGATTTGTTCATTTGACAGAATGAATTGTCAATGATTTTTGAAATTTTCGAAGTTTCATTTCATTCTTCACTATTCATTCATGAGCTGTAGTGAAGTAGGCTGTGCAAAAAAATCTGAAATCTGAGAGTGATTAGAGAGATTCGCGATATCTTATTCACATCACCGAATTATTTGTTCAAAGATTGTTTTTGATTCAATGAATATCGTGCTGTAGAATAATGAAATGTTTTCAACAATGTTTGTCTCCAAAATCTTGATTCATCAAACAATTTCCATTTATAATAGTGTGAATACTATTCAAACTGTTCAATTCTCTATTATATTGTTTGAGAAATCTCGAATCATTTGAAGTCATTGGGATATGTTTAACACCACTTGTTTCATCAAACGACTAATAAATGTTTGAAGTAAACAAGCTCCTTCAATCTTGTGACAATGCTTTGATGAGTTTGTCCAATATATCTCATGTCACAGTCATTAAATTTTAGTGACTGGGGCATCAGAAGGGAATTCCACAAATCTTTTATTTGCTGAGGAGACTTACGAAGTGATGGTGGTCTCACGACAATTATTTCTGTGACTAGTTTCTCAATATATTGTCTACTGAAGAAGCCTCATGAGAGTCTGACGTCACCTCAGGCAAATTGGAATTTCGTCAAAATATCTAATTTGTCGTTCCTTATAGTATCTGGTTTGTTTGATTCATTCATGTGTTTGATCGCTGTGTTTTATTTCGCCCTTCAACTTGAAAATAACGGGACTTTGAGGCAAACATACTATATGATTTCGATCAATATCGGGAAATAGTTTCTTCTGTAGCCACATAGGTATCATTCATTTCACAATAATCCAAAATGAAAATATTTCCATAGTCAGTTGGAGCGCCTCCACCAAGGAACGTCTACCACGTGCCGTCGTGGAGTTTGATCTAATTAATACACGCCTATTCCAAGATCCGATAAGATTTCTTAAATTTCTACCTAGCTTTTTGATGAATATGCCTTGCTCTCAATCAACACACTTCTATACTTTGACAACTACTGTCACCGTCACTACTGTCAATAATCTTTATTGTGTAGTTGTGTATTCATCTCCATAAAATACATTAAAGAAATGTTTATATTGATAAATACATTTCAAATTGTATTCAAATTGTTTCGTCATTCGGCAAGCTCTCGCATTTTTTCAGTTGATTATATGTTGTTTGCCATGAAAATAAAACTTTCATACAATTAAACATTTATGTTGAAAATGGACTTTCAGTGTGTTGACGACCCACGGCGTATATGTTTTTCTGCTAGAGCTGATCCGATTGACTTTATGCAAACTAAACCGATTTCTAACAAATCATCTTATGTAAGAAGCATCAGAATCTCCATGACAAGTACAAAATTCAGTATAACCTTCCTGCTTCGACATACTACTTCATGATACCCTCATATATTCCTCATTTCAGATGTTTTCAGAAGTTATACATCTGGATTAAATAGTTCGAATAACCCTTCCGACATATACCTTATCATACATGAATTCAATACACAGGGTGTCAAAAAATTGAAAAAAAAGTCTAAATAAACCTTGGTACAGAAATGGCTCCTTAAGGGGTTATAGCAATCTGAAGGGGATGAGGCCGAGATGATATAGTATTATGTGGATATTTTCAAACCTCTCTGTAATAAAATGACCAAATTTTGTACATGTAATCATGTTCAATTTTACTGCTTCCATCGAACAATATAAATGTGAGTAGATTAGATTAGATTTAGAATGGGGCCTTCGGGCTATCTGCCTCCACACCGCGACCTTTTCAGATCTATTGTGTCTGCCCTCAAAATCGATTAGAGTTCTTCGGCTAGCCCCGTCTTCTTTATGAGACTCCATAGGCTAGCTTTCAGATCCCCTGTGTATCTCTGGGCTTCTGGTTTTTCCTCACCCAGCGTAAGGAACCTTAGTCTTGACAAGCCCTCACAGTGGCAAAGTATGTGTACTGCTGTTTCCTCCTCTTCCTGACAGAACCTGCACAGCAGTTCTTCAGTCAGACCTATCGTACTCATGTGTTTGTTGAGCCTACAATGCCCTGTGAGAAGTCCCACTAGTATTCTAGTTGAACTTCGTTTCTGGCTTAGTAGATATTCTGTGAATTTTGGCGATGGTTTTTTAATAAACTCTTTTGCCTGTCTCATTCCTGGCGATTTGTTCCACCATTCTTGAGATTTGGTTTGCATCCATGATTTGATACTAGTCTTTTGTATAGCTTTCGCAATACCACAGAAGGGTTCTGGGCCATTCAGAGCTTTGTTTGCTCCTGCTCGGGCAAGTGAGTCTGCCTCTTCATTGCCCTCGTACCCTGTATGTGCTGGTACCCATGCTAGAGTCAGTCTGTTCTGACTGCCCAGTGCATTTAGGGTTTCTAAGCAGTCCCATACTAGTTTTGAGTTAACTTGCATAGAGTTGACTGCTTTGATTGCCGCCTGGCTGTCTGAATAGATTGCAATGGTTTTGCCTTTAAACTCTTGCCTTATCAATTCTTTCACGCAATGATGTATTGCAATAATTTCTGCCTGAAACACCGTCGCGTATTTACCTAAGCTCAGTGAGATTCTTGTCTTTGGCTTGGCCCCATAAATACCGGCTCCTGAATGTGAGTATATACAATCTTGACCCCAGGAATGAATCTTGAGAGGACTGAGAAAAGTTTATAGGTTAAGGATAAAAAATGAATAACTCAGTTGAAAATACAGATCACTGACTTATTGAAAATATTGTCGATGAGCGTGATTTTTGCATTTTTTCCAATAGACAAACAATATTATATATCGCCTTCTAAGTTTCTATTCGAAACGAAAATGAATGAAACTTACCCGAAAGTCATTCTCATGGTACGACCTAGTGGCCAATGTCTCATTCCTCAATATTCTTGTGGACACTTTATACATATGGGTGCCCGCCATCGAATGGAAATATAGAGTTCTGTAGCCGTCTCTTTTTGGAGCTGTCAGTTCGACGCTGAAAACTCCGTCGTTCCATTGGAAGTTGTGACCTGATATGAAGAACTCCCCAGCAGTAGGTTCGAGGTAAAAGTAATTGTGGGTGATTCTCCAAGATCTATTTTCACGTAGGCTGTAGACTATGAGACCGTATCCTCCTATAAATATTTGAAATCGGAGATACACCTAACTGGTAACTCTGTCATAAAGGAGTTGGAATATTGAACAGAAGTAATGAATCAGAAACATGAACCAAAATATGCTTCATTCCTATTATATATTCAAATAGATAATTCAGTCAGACAGTTTTCTATGTTTATTTATTATTCAGTCCGTTCACATCTCATTTACCATGACTACCATTCAGCACACTATAATCATATTCCATAGAGTATTCTATATAGTGTGATCATTATACAACATGCCCCTTTCATAAAAATCAAGGAGTCAAATAACAATAAACAATTCAATGTGATCATTATACAACATGCCCCTTCTATAAAAATCAAGGAGGAGTCAAAATAACAATCAAATGACACAAAATCTCATCCATCTTGAAGACAACTCTTCATTGGATCAGTACACGAAGTCTCTCAAGGTAGAAGGTATCTTCAGTATTCGACCTCTAGAAGACATCCGAACATTCTCTCTTCCTTGTATCATCTCGTTTTTTTCTGCGGATCCGTTTCTCGGCATCAATGCTGCTTCTTCTGAGTGTTCTCTGCCGCCCCCGGAGCTTCTATTCTTCCTCGGACTGCCCCTTGTAATTTCCGGTACATCGGGAATGGTTGTTGGAAAATCTTCTGAGGATGATGAACTTGAATGATAGTTATCGAAGTATTCAGGCTCTTTGGAGGTGTGAGCTAACACGCATCGTTTGGGAGAGATTGGGACGGTTTGGGTTCGATTATCAGTTTTATTTGTTGGGACTGGTTTCAAATTTATTCGATTCCTTCTGTATGTTCCGCCATCATTAGTTTCAACGAGATAGCTTTCAGGTTGGCGGTGAGGACTGATAATCCTTCCAGGTATCCAATTTCGAATTCCTTTCTGCATCATCACTGGTTGATCATGTTGTAAAGGTGGTAATCGTTGAGCATTTTTATTATAGTACGATGAAGATAAAGTTTGATTATTCTTCAAAATTATCAAGTTCCTGTTAGTCTCAAAATTTGGCTTCAATATCCTTCTAGAAACTGGTAGTGTCGTGTTGAATTTTCTTCCCATCAGCATCTCAGCAGGAGAGGGTAAATTAGCTTTTGATGTACTATTATATTCCATTGTTACCAGATAAGGATTTTTGTGTGGGCATTTCAACAACATGTTTTTCAACGTTTGAATATGTCTTTCTATCAATCCGTTCGATTGAGAATAAGTGGGACTAGATGTTACATGTCGTATATCAAGGTCTTTCAGGAAATTGATGAACAAATAAGAACCGAAAGGAGGATCCATGAGATTTGAATATAAAACATAATGCATCTATAACGGAGGCTGCATTTTTATTCTTCAATAATACTAATTCCATGAATTTCGAGTGAATCACATAAAACAAGAAAATTATCCTCTTTCACCTGCATGAAATCAATTCCAATTTTCTCCCATGGTAATTCAGGAACTGGATGGGGGTGTAGTGGTTGTTTTTTATTCGATTTGGAGAATTGCAGGCATGTCAAACATCCAGATATCAAATCATGAATTTGTTTATTTATATTAGGCCAAAAAACTGAATCTTGGGCTTTTTTCTGACAAGCAATAATTCCTTGATGTGTTGAATGCAATCTTCTCAAAATCTCATCACGTTGGTCAGATGGTATGATTAGCTGATTGCCTCTAAAAAGAAGTCCTTCCATTTCATGAATTTCCGATTTATATGGATAATATGGTTTAGCTTCTCGTTTCACAGAAGTTGAATGCTTTGGCCAACCATTCTTTAAATAATGTCTCACGACTCCCAATTCAATATCTTGTTCTGTACTGTGAATTAAAGATTCTAATTTTTCATCCGAAGCCAAAATAATGGTACTTATTTGAAAATCGTCCATGAACCTAGTATCTTCATTCTGATTCATTGGAGCTCTTGACAAAATGTCTGGTATGTATAATTCTTTACCTGGGACATACTTCAGATTGATATCATATCTAAACAACCGAAGCACTAACCTCTGTAACCTAGGAGTCAGAGTTTCTATTGGTTTGTTTATCAATCCTAAAAGTGGTTTGTGATCTGTGATAGCATCAAAAGAACGACCATATAAATAATAGTTGAATTTCTCACATCCTACAACAATTGCCAACAATTCTTTTTCTATTTGGGCATAATTACGTTGCGCTTGAGTCAAAGAAGCTGACCAATATGCAACAGGATGTCTATCTTGACTTATATAGCCACCGATACCATACTGACAAGCATCTGTAGCTAATGTTACACGTTTATTGGGATTAAAATGACTCAAAACTGGAGCGTTTACGATCATATTTTTCAAATTCATGAATGCTTGAGCCTGCGGACCATTTTCTTCCCATACCCAACTTGAATCTTTACGAAGTAGCTGTCTCAATGGTTCACTTAATTCAGTAACATTTGGAATGAATTTTCCTAAATAATTTATCATTCCTAGAAACCTTTGTAACTCTTTGATATTCTCTGGTTTCTCAATTTTTTCTATAGCCTTCACTTTAGTTTCATTTATTTTAATACCTTTTCCAGATACATTATGTCCTAAAAATTCGATTCCATCTGTTGCTAATTGTAACTTTTCCTTTTTAAACTTTATATTGTCAATTCTAGCTTTTTTCAATAATTTCTCTAATCTGGTATTATGTTCCTCAATTGTTTCCGCAAATACTAGGATATCATCAATGCATGCAATCGTTCCATCTAAATCTTCTATAAAGTTATTAATATATTGTTGAAAAATTTCTGAAGCACAGGATAATCCATACGGTAAGCGATTAAATTTGAAGCGTCCAAAAGGAGTTGAAAACGTGCAAAGTTCAGAACTTTCTACATCTAACGGGATTTGATGGAAAGCACTAGACGCATCCAAAACAGTGAAGAATTTTGCATTCCCCAATTCCGCAAGCATAGTTTCAATAGTTGGCAATTCTAAACGTTGCCTAATAATGAACTTGTTTAAAGGTCTAGGATCCATACATAGACGAATAGAACCATCTTTCTTTTCTGCAACTACAATTGCCTTTACCCAATCCGTTGCCTTTGTAACCTTATCAATAACACCCTGTCTCTGCATATTCTCTAATGCTATCTTTACAGAATCATTCAAAGCAAGAGGAATCTTTCTACATCTTGCAATATGTGGAACAGCATTTTCTTTCACCTTTATCGTGCATTCTTTCTTAAAACAACCCAGTCCTTCAAAAACATCTTTGTAGACTTCAATTAAATTTTTTGCAATTGAAATTCCATCCCTTGTGATTGATGAAATTCTTTTGATGAGATTTAGCTCGACAGATGAATGCAAACCCAAAATAGGATCCAAATTTCCTCTCAGTATATTGAATTCTAGATTTTTTTTTCGAATTTTCAGTTTCACTGAATAACTTACAGGTACCAATGACATTCAGTTGATTTTTATTATAAGCAACTATTTTATTACTGGTTTTCTCAATGTCAGGTTTATTCGATAATTTCATGTATATTTCATGTGGTAATGTATTGACTTCACTACCTGTATCCAATTTGAAATTAACAATAGTGCCTTGGATACGTATTTTTTCCATCCACGATTTTGAAGATTTTGTTAAAATATCACACAACTGACTAACTTCAGTAATAGTTCCGATTTCTAAATAATTCGAATCTCTATTTGGTGTTTCAATTTCATCATTTCCATTGATTTCGTCTGTACGGAATTCTAAATCATTTACATGTCTCATGTTACATAGAGAAGAATAATGGTTGAATCTTTTACAGTGATGGCAAATTTTTCCCCATGCAGGACATTTTCCGAATTCATGTGAAGTTCCACACCTATAACACGTCTTTTGACTATTTTTATTAACGAATACCTTCCTATTTTTGTAAGTATTATTATTATCATTTCCTTTAGAATCAATCTTTATTTTATCTATCGTACTATATGTCATACCTTCATCATTCGAACTGCCACTGATATTTTTTGACACACCTGTCATAACTTTCATTTGCTTCTTAGATTCTTCACTTGCTCTGCAAATTTCAATACAGCTAATAAGAGTTAGGTCCTTTGTATTCAACAATTTTTCTCTCAGCGGATCACTGGAAATTCCACATACCATCCTGTCACGTATTAACGAATCACCCAGATCTCCAAATCCACAGTCTAATGCCTTTTGCCTTAAAATAGTCACATATTGATCAATTGATTGCCCTACCTGCTGGTTAGAAGTGAAGAACAGAAATCGGCTGTAAGTTTCATTCTTATATGGAGCAAAATATTGCGACAACTTTTCCATAATAACTTTAACGGTCCTTTCATTTCCTCCCTCTTCAATATATAATGTATTATAAATATCCAAACCATACTCTCCCAGAATGTGCAAGAGTGTAGCTCTTTGCCTTTCCACAGGCTGTATTTCCAGATTCATAGCAGTCCAGTATAACTCCACCTGCTGTTTCCATCTTTGCCATGATCTTGCTGGATCATATCCGGGGTCGAATATCTTCGGGGGTTGAAGGTTCGCCATCATATGAATATTTTATATAATTATCAAGCGTTTTTAGCTGCCACCATATTATATATTCAAATAGATAATTCAGTCAGACAGTTTTCTATGTTTATTTATTATTCAGTCCGTTCACATCTCATTTACCATGACTACCATTCAGCACACTATAATCATATTCCATAGAGTATTCTATATAGTGTGATCATTATACAACAATTCCTAATTACGCTATGGCTTGGACACGTTGATATGCCTACAATTTATTCCTTGCAGACATGTACATAACGTCACTCACTAGCAAATGATGTATTACGTCTATTCAATCAATTCGATATGATATTTTTTTCTGATATGGAACACAATTCGGAATATTATTCCAGTCCAAGATATACAAGCGGAATATTTTTCCGTATGCACACGGAAATGTCATATATATATATATATATATATATATATATATATATATATATATATATATATATATATA